GAAAAGCTCAGCATTCTCTGCTGGTTCAGCTAGTGCTAAGCAGGCTGATGCATCACAAAATTTCCATGTCAAGGCAGCTGTTTCTGGTGAATAGGAGTTAAATGACAAGTTGTTCCAGGAGCGCTGAAACAAGTGAAGTCTGATTTTCTCTAGATCTCTGTCTCATGCTTGACTTTGAGCTGTTTCTGTAACTGGGGCAGTTCTTAGGATACTTTGCTGTGCAGGCTCCCTCATACTGCGTGATGTGTACGATCATTATGCAGTGTTTTCCTCACAGAGGTCGTGTATCAGATGCATTTGTAGGGTTCCTTGTTTCTGTTGGGTCGCTGATTTTTAGGATGATGATAAAGGTTCATGCTTCAAGTATTTTTCCATCGTTTCTCTCACTGGAGTATTTTAAGATTAGTGAGGGGGACAGATAAACAGGTTGACAGGCAGACACAGGCCTACACATATGTAATGATCGTGTAAATCCTGTTTCCTTAGGAAACCGTGATAATCATAGCAAATATTATGCAAGCTATACTAAAGGGCATGCAAAACCAGGTGAAATGGATAAGGCAGGATAACTTGAGGAGAAAACAATTAGGAAAGAACCCAGAATAAGTCATACAGCATGTTTTTTTTCCTAATACTAGGTTCAGTGTTGGTTTAAATGAACATTTGTAAACTTGAAACCATGGTTTGGGAAACATGTTAGCTTATGAGAAAGGTGTGATGCCTCCCTCTAACTTTTTTAATGAGTAAGATATAAAATATGCTAATATATTTTGGTATAATTTCTGATGGTGGTTAAACACCAAGGACTAATACTGTCTAGCTACATTGCAGAAAACATGTCAGCATTTTGTCTTTTCTGTTACAGCAGGGTAACTACTGGGCCTGAGCCATCTCTCTGCAAAAATATGTATTATTGTAAAGTGAACAAACAGCAGAAGCCAAATATACCTCAGAGTCAAACAGTTTGATTCTTAATGGCATCCTTTCGGCAATGTTGCATGGAATCAAATGTATATATCCAATTTCAGGCCAGGATACTATGACGAGTTGTTCCTGGGAACAGAGCATCTGACCCAGTATGCTGGTATGAGCTGCTCTGCATGAGAGACATGTACTGTTAGGTCATGTAAGAGCCTAATAATAATTACTTGCCTCTATGATTATACTGGCATTGGTCCTCTTGTGGAAGCTGGTGTAAAGGGCCTTGTTCCCAGGCTGGATTAAGTGAAAATAATGGTGTAGACAATTTGTATACAAGTACATCATGAGTGCCTGCTGCGTGGTTTTAATACTTTGTGTAGAGCTTACCTGCTGTGGATAAGCAATAAATGCAAATGTTATGTAATGAAACCTATCATTACGTTTCTTGTGACCTGTGAGACAGGATTGGAGTGTCTTTCTTTACTTGCGTGTATCCTGTGTTTGATGCAATATTTGTTGTGTTTTGCAGGTGATTTTCAAAGCTAAGTCAAAATATTCTCCAGAGCTACTGAAATATAGGTAAGAACTACGGAAGAATTTAATGTGGTAAAGAAGAGCAGCCATGCTCTTGGAGAAACAGTACATCTTTTATAATTTTTGGTGTTCATATCTCAGCTATTCGTATTTGTATACTGGTGTTTTATGATGACGGTTCTGAGGCCAGCTTCTTCCTATGACATTTAGAAATCTGCGTCATTTCCCAACACAAGCACCATGTTTAGACATTCACGTATTTCAAAGGCAAATGTTTCAAATACATGCAGAAAACACCCTAGTGATTTGGTTACAGGTTCTTAACCTTTACATTGCTAGGTGAATTCAGATGCCGTGCTTTCGTAAGCGTATCAGAGTGATATATTTATTTTGACAGGAGTGAGTGAGATTGGGTATGTATTAATCCATGAGGTCAGTGGTAATAAAAGTTTTGGGAAGATAAGAGAAGAGTTGTGAAGGGAAAGAGCTAGAGAGAATGAATTTAACTTGATGTGTGTGGAAGCTCACAAATAACCTCCCCTGACTCCACAGAGTTGAGGTTATGGTAGCTTGGCATTTGGGTAGAGAGATTTGTTTGGGATATTGTTGAGCAAGGAGAAATGTCAGGAACTACTTAAAAACTCCCCAAAGGGCAGTGATGTCCAGAAAGCTGAGGAAGTGCTCAATAAATTAGTGTTTATTCTGGCAATGCCTAAAAGCCTCAGTCAGGCAATGTTCAGACAGCAGCAGGGGGAGAGAGGTTGTCCCCATTCTAAAGAAGAAATTTACAGTCTGAATTCAGGATGGGAAAACAGAGTAATTTGAAACTGAAATCTAGCCTGTTACTTGCTGACTGTTAAGAGACTATAGTACTCTAACAACAAGTCAAATATTAGAATTGTCCTTGTCCCATGAAGTCTGTTAGCCAGCTGAGTTTTGATGCAGCTGGAGGGGCGATCACCTGGAGCAAGTGCTTCAGAAAGCCTATTTGGCAGAATGGCCATGCAGGGAGAGCAGGCTTAGAGTGGGCTGTGCTTGGGCCACTGAGGGTCAGGAAGGCTGCATCTATTTTGGTAGCCTCAGGAATGCTTCCCAAGTTAGCACACCTGTGTGTGTAGCTTGACCACATCCCAAATCACAAGGGGCAAGAGCTGGATGTTGCCTGGTAAACACCGTGGCATACAAATACATTTACCCTTTGCACCCTGGTTTCTGTGGGCAGGATATCCGGGAGTGTGGGCTGATAGACAAGCCCAGCACACACCAGCCAGGTCCCCAGGCAGCCCCCAAAGCAGACGTGCCTGCCCCTGATGGCATGCATAGGTCAGAGGAACAAAGAGGATGGCTTTGCAGAAAGCCTGGGCTGCAAATCAGGGTGGTATAGGGCAGGTCTATGAACATGTTTTTGGTTGGCTTTAGAGGTGAGAGGTAGCATCTTCGAACCTCATCTAACACTGATGTTTGTGGCAAGGCTTTATTCCTGCAAACTGCTTAAAAATATCTTTCTTCAAGCAGTGGAAGCTTGTGATATTTAGTCAATGCCTCTGAAGTGACTACATTAGCACTGTGCATGCAGCTCTTGGAGCGTTTCCATTCCTAAACTCTTTTGTGTTGTGACTGGAATTACTCATGCACAGAATACCCTTCCCACAACAGCTCCGTGTCCACCCTGGCTCTTGCCTACTGCGTTTCTAGCACAGATCACTCTTGGATTTGGTCTAGCCTTTTCTGTCTTATTGAGCTCTGTTGCTAAAAGACTTCAGTAGTATTTTGTTTTCATATCTAGATCTCTTAGTGTGAACGTAGTAACTCGGTGTAAAAGAGCCATATGAATAAAGCTCACCTCGTTTCCTATCTTACACTGGGCAATCTAAGTGGGATAATATGTGGACGCCCACAGCTGAGGTCCTGAATCTTAGTTATAAAGGGAGTGAAAGATCACAGAGTGGTTTGGGTTGGAAGGGGCCTTTAGAGATCATCTTGTCCCACTCCTGTCCCACGGACGGGGATGTATTTCATTAGATCAGGTTGCTCAAATACTGATGGAAGATGGATGATAGGCAGATGTATGGCCCACAGACAGGGTCTGGAGTCTGCATTTACTGCATGTAATTTTTCTTAATTGCCAAATGTTCATTTTTTGATTTGTTTTCCCCGTTTTCTTTAAGAAGCATCAGACCTTATTGCCTGATATTGCATTTTTGCAATAGATAATTGCAACGTAAACAGGGCAACAGAGAGCTAGGACCGTGGTCTCTGTATTGTCACAGGTCTCAGAAAATCAGAATCATTTCAGATATGGAAAAAAATGATAAATCCTATCAGAGATACACAATCTTAAGCAAACTTTGCTCAGCACAGCCTCATGGTCTTAGTCACTGTGGCAGAAGGGTGAAGCCTGTGCCAGCCCAACTTCATATTTAAACAGTCCTTCTGCATGTCTCTGGGCTTGGGGATTTCTTACAGTCACTGTGTTTGGGTGGAGCTCACTGCGCTGTGTGTGCATGCCTTGTTACACACAAGCCTCCGACGCTGCATGGTTTCTGAGGAAACCACATACGAAATGCGGTAGTTTCAAACAGACTTTCCTATTAAACAAGGCGAAACTCACTGCAATCATCTGAAGCTTGAAGAAAAACGTAGGGGTGCATCCAGCCTAGCACAGAAAAAACAGAACACCGTGGCACATGCCTTCCTTGGCCAAACCAGATTAGACACAGCTCCTTTTAAGGGACTGGCCTCAATGTGGGGATTAGGCACAATAGGCTTTTGAATGGTTACTGCTGCAATCTGGAAGCACCTCTCCTGCTCTGCTGCTTTTCTGTTTTCTGAAATAAAATGTATGCTTGTTCATGCCTTGTAGGTGCCCTTATAGTTAAGATGTAAGGATACATTCTGCCTTCAGGTGAGTTAGGAATGCTTTCTGCATGGTTAACCAGAGAACTGCTGGGCAA